TCATCAACTGGTACCATTCTCCAAAACCAAACTGAAGACCAAGACTCATTCAGTAAGAAAGATAGTTTTTTTCTCCCTGGGTTTCTGAGGATCTGCTGCCATCATGAATGACACAGTAATTATCTGGACCAGGAAGTTCATAACCAACCAGTTACTTCAGAGGAAACAAATGGTCATTGATGTTCTTCACCCTGGGAAAGCAATAGTACCTAAGACAGAAATTCAAGAAAAGTTAGCCAAAATGTACAAGACCACACCAGATGTCATATTTGTGTTTGGATTCAGAACCCATTTTGGAGATGGCAAGACAACTGGCTTTGGCATGATTTATGATTCCTTGGATCATGCAAAGAAAAATGAACCCAAACATAGTCTGGCAAGACACGGCCTGTATGAAAAGAAAAAGACCTCAAGAAAACAGCGAAAGGAACACAAGAACACAATGAAGAAAGTCAGTGGGACTGTGAAGGCAAATACTGGGGCTGGCAAAAAGCCAAAGGAGTAAAGATTCTGCAATGACTTTATCTGCGGAGATTGTGTAAATTCTTCATGAGGATTAATAAACTGTAAAAGCTGTAAAGAAAAGAAGGAAGGATTACATATATAACATATACATATGTCAGCATTTGTATGTGTTGTGTCAAAGCAGCTAGGAAGGGTGCAAGCAGTGGGCAGGAGGAGAGACATATAAATCAAAGCAAAGAAAGAAGCCAGAGATTGCTCAAAGAGGAAGAGGGATTCTCAGGGACGAAGCAAAGAAAAAGCAGTTCCCAGCAGAGAGGAGCCAATCAGAGCTCTCACGTCACACCCTAGTGCTGTTCAGGGTTCCCCCTGATCCTTAGCTCTGATACTATCCCTATCCCAAAAAAGCTTTAAATGAAGCCTTTCCCCATGCTTACTTTAAAAACATATTCAACCTGGTTTGCACCCTGTCACTGTCCACTCTCCCCAGATTATTTTAGAGTCCCATCCCCATCATGACCCAAGTAACTTAGAGTACTTGCCAGTAGCCCACTCAGGCCCATGCCTTCATTTCCACAAAGAACACCCTCTGCATCATGGGTGCTGTCTCCTCCCTGACCAAGAAGGTTGGACTCCAATCCCCTCCAGAACTACCAGCAATATGATCTCCAGAGAATGGCTCAGAGTTAAGAGTGGCAATGGGACATTCAGCGGAAGGAAGCCCAGAATTCTCCTTCAGACTTGGGGAAACTATATTTGTTTTTCTTACAGTACTTAGAAAACTTATCACAACCCTGATGGATAAAACCAAAGGTCAGATATAGCCCGGACCAATGCTTCCTCCTCACAGCTGACATTCAGTTTTGTATTTCGAAATCTCACGCTTTTAGTACTTAGTTGAGACTGGTAACTATTTCTAAAAGCCGACTTTGAACTACCACTACTGCCCATAACATGTCTTCACTACATTTTCATTTTTTTATTTTGATATACAGGTTTTGGTTTACATGTCTAAACTCCTACACTGGATGATATGCTTCTTGAGAACAGGGCTCTCCTCTAATAAATCCTTCTCTCTCCCCAAACTCACTGGCTAATCAAATACCCTGTGTCCCTGCGACTTGTGTGAAATTAGATAAGACATTAAAACTTTACGATCCCTCAGTTTCCTCATTATCTTCAACATGATTTCTAAGTTCATTCTAGACCTTGGATTCCAAGAAGAGCTTTTGCTAAGCCAATTAAGAGTGCAAACAAAAAGGGGAATGTTTTCTAACCTATTTTAAGAGAACAAAATGCTTTCAAGTGCTTTAGAGGTATCTATTTTTACACAGATGGAGTCATTAAAATATCAGTGGAACCAGCTGCCACCCGGCAAGTGCTTGGATGTTCTCACTGCAAGCCCTTCTTACCCACCACACTTAGAAAGCCCCTTCTCTCCTGTACAGAGCTCCCCTTGAAGTAGGTAACTTCAAAGAGGCAACATGGTGTACTGGCAAGCCCTCAGATCTCTTATCTGAAAAACCAGTAAATGAATCTGATGACATTCAGGAAGTATAAAATAATAGCAGAAGCAGCTCCCACTCAACCGGGCCTTGGCTATTGTGATTGGTCTCTAAAGAACATTGCAGTTCTAGTGGGTATGATGGGGAACATCAGTGCGAGCCTTTGGGTTTCAGTCTTTCTTTCCTCTGTTACTTTCTCTCCTTCAGCTTCTGCCTAGATCTGTCCCTCCATCCTGACAATCACGTTGTAGAGAGCAAATGAGGACAGGAGACATGAGGCAGGCAAGCTCTGTGAGCTGTAAAGAGGTGTGCAGATGTTAGCTCTATATTTTAAAGTATCCCATCAATCATATTGTGATTTAAAGAGCACACACAGGCCCAAGTCCCATAAGCCAGTAGTCATAAGGAATTTGGTTAAATTGTGTCAGCACAATTACAAAGTCAAATACATGAGCCATTACTGGATTCTCATGCATGCCCTCTGTGAAACAATCTGGTATAATGTTAATACTATGCCACTAGAGGTAGATAGATCTGATTTTGAATCCCAATTTTACAATTTATTAGTTAGGAATTTGGTAAAAAAAAAATTTACCTCTTCTAATCTCAGTTTCCTAATATGTAAAACATCAAATATGAAAAAAAATACTGAATATCTGTGTCCCCTCAAAAATAATACATTTAAGTCCTGTCTCCCAATGTGATGTATAGATGGAATCTTTGAGAGGATTAGATGAGGATTAGATGAGAGCCTGAGGGTGGGGCCCTCCTGATAGAATTAGTGCCCTTATGAGAAGGACACCAGAGCACTTGCTCTTTTTCTCTATCTTGTGAGAACACAGCAAGCAGGAAGCTGTACTCAAGCCAAGAAGAGAGTCCTCACCAGAATCCTACGATGATGGCACACCTATCTGGACATCCAATCTCCAGACTTGTAAGAAAATAAACTTCTATGGTTAAGCCACCATAGCCTGAGCAGACTAAGACAGCTTACTAGAGTACAAAATGAACAAAAATGTAGGAAACACCATAATTATTAAAAACCAGAGACTTTAAAACATGAAAATAATTACACACATGCAAGAGGTGGTAAAAGACCAGATGAGACAGTGAGGCCAGTCAGAAATTAACAATGGTGGGATTGCTTCTGCCCCAAGACTACAAGGACAAAAGGAGGAAGTACAGTTACAAGAAACAGAGGCCAGGTCACCCATCGGAGTCTAAAACCACATCAGGCACGTAGAGGGAAGCAGGAGATTTAGAGGAGATGCAGCTCTAACTGTAAACAGAAAGAAAAGGAGAGAAATGCTCTTACTTCTCCTTTACTCCTAGCCTTCAGACTCCTATCGCCATCTTTCATCATCTACAACCAACAAGTTCAGGTGATATTGGAATCTGGGACTTACAGACCCCTAATGATGACACCTTGTATACAGACCAGAGCAGGAAGGTGAGGAATGGGTGGGATAGCAAACAGGACAAGGACCAGCACACCCATCTTCCTGCTTTAAATATTAATTAATTGAGAATTAATATTAATTATGCGATAGTCTATTTCCCAAAATAACTACCATAACACTGACTTATAACATGGTTCAGTTAGTGACAGATCTTATTATATTAGATACCTTGGGTGTCGTTAGACACTTTCATTTATATAATTTTATTTAATTCCAAATAATTTATGATATTCTCTGTTTTCCTTCTATCTGCTCAGGAATCTTGCCCCTAGGACGTGAGGGGCACCAGCATGTTGACCAAGCTCAGAACTTCGGCCCTTCATCATGTAGCTAACCTAGCTGCCAGGGGAATGCCTGCCATTTGTCCACCAGGAGCCCTGTGCTGCCATGAGAGAACCACCTATTAGTCCCTAGGTGCCCACCCTTTAATGCTTCTTAGAGATTGTCCTGCTGTCCTTTGCTGAGGACATCATTTGAAGATAAGCTCATTATCATCTCCTTTGTGAAGACTAGAAGCTCATTCACTGGCAGAATTAAGTATTTCTTCCTCCAAGTCCGTAACATGCCCTTGGGGCCTAAGATCTAGATTTATCTGTCTGCACATCAGTACAGCAGCATCCTTTTTACCTGCTAGACCATGAGCTTCCAGCCAGCAGCTCAGGAACCCAGCATCTGGAGGTTGAATCCTGGAAGAAGAGGCTTTACCCAGTGTGGTACAAGAGTCTTGGAGCCTGAGAAACCTAAACCCCAGTCTGATCTCTTCCACTTCCTAGCTGGGTATTTGTATAAGCAGATTCATCTTTGATTCTCAGTTTTCTCTATGGCTAAAATAGAGATTATAAATTAAAAACATCTCTTGATGTTATTTTAAGAATTAAATTAGATAAGCCATATAAAGGTTGCGGGGCAGTAGCAGGTTGTTACCACAGGCTGATGTCCCTTCTCTTTCTCTCCTATAACTGCCCTAGATTAGTGAGGCCCAGGAGTCATGCCAGACCTAGTGTAACAGAGAAGGGCTACAAAGTAAACATTTAAAGCTTTTTGAGGCAAAATATGTCTCTGTCATACATTCTTCTTTTTTTTTCATTTTTAATAACCCTCTAAAAATGTAAAAATTATTGAGCAACTTTAAAACTGGTCATTGGGTCATATCTGATCCACTGGCTGCTGATCTCTGTTCTAGTATCATACTTAAAGAGACCACAGGGACTTGCTTGGCCTTTGACTGTTACTGTTCCCTTCCTCCTTTATTACTTTTCTTCTTTTTTCTTTCCTTTCATTTTGTCCATGTTCTCTAAATGTTAGAGTTAAGAATCCAAATGTGAAATCAGAGGGACCTGGTACAAACCTTGGCCTCACGGCCAAATGGTTTGGCAACCATGGACAAGTTTCTTAGCATCCCATAACCTCTGTTGCAACACCTTGAACAAGACTTTATTAAAACCTGCTAGGACCCTGGGGCAGTTAACGAGGACACACATTCAGTGTGTGTCCAAAGTCTTCTGAGTACTGATTGTTAAATTCTCAGGAAATTTACAAACCAGCTCTGAAACCATTGGTCACTCAAAATCAGCCTCAGTGAACATACTTACACCACAGAAATTGGACATCATGGCGACAAAACCCTCCTCCTATTCCTGAGCTGGTTGGTAAATGTTTACAATTCACCACCAAACTGAGCACCCACCCCCATTTCCACTTGCCTCCTTGGGATCTTCCTGCTTCCAGTGTCACACTGCAAGGAATTAATGATATAGCAGGGGAAATCCTGAGACAAGCAAACATGCAGACCTCCCAGAAATTCTCACCAACAATATGGTTCACTGGGCATGCGTGTACTTTGCCACTGTCACGTTTCTCGGGTTCTAATTGGCTACCCACTCGGTTAACACCAGAAAATGTTGAAAAGCATCTGATTTCCACAAGGAGGAATCTAGCTATTCCCGTAAATGGCAATAGGAGAAGAGGTGGGTTGCTCTGTGACTTCCAGAAGTGCTAAATGCAGACAGCAGAGCAGTGGCGTTGTGAAATTGACAGATTTCTGCTAATGAACCCAAGAGGATAAAATAATTCTTGAA